ACACTGCTAGCAGTACCATGCTGTGTATGAGACCACACTGCTAACAGGACCACACTAGCAGAACCACACTGCTAACAGTACCATGCTGTCTACGGGACCGCACAGCTAACAGGGCCACACTGCTGACAGAGCCACACTGCTGGTAGTACCATGCTGCAAACAAGACCAATCTGCTAACAGAATGACATTGCTAACAGGACCATGCTGCTAATAGTACCATGCTGCTAACAGAACACAGTTTACAGGACCATGCTGCTAAGAGAACCTCACCGCTAACAGAACCACTCTGCTAATAGGACCATGCTGCTAACAGGACCATGCTGCTAACAGAGCCATACTGATAGCAGTAACAGGCTGTTGACAAGATGACACTGCTAACAGGACCACACTGCTGACAGAGCTGCACTGCTGGTAGTACCATGCTACAAACAAACCCATGCTGCTAACAGAACCACATTGCTAACAGGACCGTGCTGCTAACAGGACCATGCTGCTAACAGTACCACATTGCTAACAGGGCCATGCTGCTAACAGTACCACATTGCTAACAGGGCCATGCTGCTAACAGTACCGTGCTGCTATCAGACCATGCTGCTAACAGGACCATGCTGCTAAGACAGCCTCACTGCTAACTACTCTGCTAATAAGATCATGCTGCTAACAGAACCACATTGCTAACAGGTCTAACAGTACCATGCTGCAAACAGAAATACTCTGCTAATAAGATCATACTGCTAAGAGGACCTCACCGCTAACAGAACCACTCTGCTAATAGGACCAAGCTGCTAACAGGACTGTGCTGCTAACAGGACCATGCTGCTAACAGTAGGCTACCATGCTACAAACAGTATCATGCTGCTAACAGGACGATGTTGCTAAGATAACCACTTTGCTAATAGGACCATGCTGCTAACAGCAACAATGTTTCTACAACTGTTTTTATCTTAATTGCTTTTTATAGTCGTATATTGTTATCTGTACTCTATATCTATTTATCTCCTCAGTGGTCCACACTGCTCTCACCCACCTGGAGCACAAGGACTCCTACATCCGTTTGCTCTTTGTGGACTTCACGTCTGCCTTCAACACCATGATCTCCCAAACCCTGATGGACAAACTATTCTCATTAGGACTAAGCCCCTCCATTTGCAACTGGGTACTAGACTTCTTAACAGACCTCAGTCTGTGAGGATCCACAACTTCTCTTCCTCCACCATAACCCTCAGCTCTCCTCAAGGATGTGTGTTGAGTCCTCTCCTGTTTACTCTGCTCATGTATGATTGTGCAGCTACCCATCCAGGCTGTCACATTCTAAAGTTTGCAGATGACACAGCGGTGGTGGGATGCATCACAAACAATGATGAGTCCAGCTACAGGTAAGAGGTGGAACACCTGGAGAGCTGGTGCAAAGAGAATAACCTTCACATCAATGTGAAGAAGACAAAGGAGATGATTGTGGACAAGGAAAAAAGACACCTACACCCCCCTGAACATAAGTGGATCTGTGGTGGAAGTGGTCTCCTGCTACAAGTACTTGGGTGTACACCTGAATGACAACCTCAGCTGGAACAACAACACCACCAGCCTGATGAAGAAAGCTCATCAGAGACTCTACTTTCTCAGGCGGCTGAGGCGAGCTGGTCTGGGAAGCTCAGTCCTCACCTCCTTCTACAGGTGTGCAGTGGAGAGCATCCTGTGCTCGAGCATCAATGTGTGGCATGGAGGCTGCACAGCTGCAGAAAGAAAAGCTTTGCAGAGAGTGGTGAAGGCTGCACAGAAGTCTGTTGGAGTCACCCTTCCCACCACCACATACATTTACACCTTCAGATGCAGAAAGAGGGCCACCTGCATCATGAAGGACCCCACTCACCCAGCACACACACTTTTTGCCCCGTTACCCTCAGGAAGGAGGTTGAGGAGCATTAAGTGTAGAACCACTAGACTGAGGAACAGCTTCTACCCTGACGCAGTTAGACTCATGAATCTCTAACCAGGATAATCACTGTGAAAAAAACACATCATGTTGCTGCTGATCTGTTTCATGTTGCTGCTGATCTGTTTCATGTTGATGTGTTCATGCGTGCTCATCTGCTCACACAGGTGCATGCTCATGTTCGTGCTGCTGTTTGACGTAATGTTTTTATGCTACTAGTGCTTAGTGTATTTTTAGTTGATGTTTTTCTTAGTTCATATCTTAGACGTTATCATTGTTTTTCTTTTACATTTAATTGTTGGATGTAACTGGGACCCTGTGTACATAATTTCCTTTCACCACATGTGCCACATGTGGTGGAACGACAATAAAGAATCTCTGACTCTGATATGTTGTCTCTCTAAAACAGGTCTCTCTTGTAAATGAGTCCTCATGACTCAGTGAGACTAACCTGGATAAATAATGGTTCCATTAAAAAATAATAATGATAAACTTCAGATGGGAGATGATTTTCACAAGAAAACATTCATTTTTCAGATGAATTTCTGTCAGTTTATCTTTCAAATTAAACTCCTGGTGGTTTGGAGGCGTCACTGTTTTTCTGCTCCTTCAGGAAGTCTGTCAGGTGATTTTTGAACCTTCACTACCAGTGTTTTGCTTTAAAACAGCAGGTGTGGTGTTTGGTGGAGCTGCTGGGATGGCAGCAGGTCAGACTGCTTTTATTGGGAATTCACTGCATGTTTTATGCTGAACAAAAGCTGGGATGTGAAACATGAGACGGGTGAATGAGTTCAGAGCCTTTGTGTTTGTGGTCAGAGCAGCTCGGCCTTCAATGTTTCACCATCATATTTCTAAAACCATCTGTGTGCGTGCGTTTCCGTTTCCAAATCTGTATACTGGACATGAAATTGTTTATCTGCTGCCAGAAACCACAGGTTTCAAATCTTTCTAGTTTATTTTTACAAAACCTGTAAACTACAATTTAAACCTGACATAAACTGATTTTTCTTCTGTAAATCTGAGCACAAACTGCTCAGATTGCTCTCAGAATACCCTCATGCTTTGATTGACACTGATCATACAAGGCCTTACTGAAAGTTTATGAAGCATCATAATCCCTATCTCTGACTGATGCAGTTTGTATTTTTCAAGACTTTTTCCTCCATATTGTTGCTGAATAAACTATGTCCAGCAGCAAACAGTGGAGCAGGAGCCTCTGGATTGTCCAAAGAGATGGCTGTAGGTCTAAACTAAACAAGCAGCTGCTTAACCAACAGGGGTCACCCATGAGTGCTTTTGTTCTCATGCAAGACAAGTTGACCTATGTAGAAATCTACTTTTTATTTCCTGATGCATGCTCAATAATCCAGGTAGAAAAATCTAAAAAAGTTAAATCTGGTCCTCTGGACATTCAAAAAAAACAAAACAAGGCAAAACAACAAAAAAATGTAGAAACGTTTCGTCTCTCATCCGAGAGACTTCCTCAGTCTGAGGTGCTGTATTCAGCTCAGTCTCTTAAATAGCACCTTCTCAGAGTGGATCAACCAGTTTTGCTGCTGACAACCAAAACCAGCTGATCACATGCTCAAGAAGGACCATCA